GTATTGTGAATCCTTTATAAATAACCATAACACCATAGATTAATATTTTTTACAGTCCGTATAGGCTATCTTAAATATTACTGAAAGACCTGGAGATCCTGGAAATTTTAAGAATTCAAACTTTGAAATGTCTACTAAGTATGCACTTTTCTGTGGCAGTGTCATCTGATGTCAGAGCACATTTTCCTCTGTGTGTGTGTGTGTGTGTGTGTGTGTGTGCGTGCTCACGTGTGCATGTGAACTTGGGTTCATGTAACTTTCCGCATACCATGTGGGATTCGGAGTCGATATGAAAACAGCTGACAGAAGTAGATAAAGATGATTATCGCAAAGGATTTAATCAATAACCAGTTTTATCTCAGCAGCACACATTATCTTTCATCTTTAAAAATTATTTGCATAAATGTCTCTTCTTAGCTAGTTTCAGATTAAATAAAACCAGGCTATCCAAAGAGGCAGGGAAACACAAGAAGAGAAGTAGCAATTTTGAATGTCACAAAAATGCTGTGGTAAAGACTAAGTGGTGTAACTTTATTTAATGATAGAATACTGCAAGATCACCACAAACCACATTAATGTAATTACATCAGTTCTGCACACATATGTATCTTTTAGGAAATAAAGTCCAAACTGAATTCAAGCATATTACTGGCAAAATAATAAAATCATGTTTCTGATGAATATGCTATATAATTTAATAAAATGTCTTAATAAAAGATTGAATAATCTTTTATCAAATAATTGTCATGACAGATTCAATCTGTATATATTAGTGACTTCAACCATGTATTAGGAAGTTCATGCTTTTGTTTATTTTATTTAGTTTTTTATAAAACTAATACCCCAGTACATTTATTCATGTCTCAGGTTCTTTAAAAATTTTTTCTTATATTCTGCATAGAAGTTTTCAATGTATTCATTTTTATTTTTATTACTTTTATTATACTTGAAGTTCTGGGATACATGTGCAGAATGTGCAGGTTTGTTACATACGTATACATGTGCCATGGTGGTTTGCTGCACCCATCAACCTGTCATCTACATTAGCTATTTCTCCTAATGCTATCCCTCCCCTAGGCCCCCACCCCCCGACGGGCCACGTGAGATATTCCCGTCCCTATGTCCATATGTTCTTATTGTTCAACTCCCACTTATGAGTGAGAACATGCAGTGTTTGGTTTTCTGTTCCTGTATTAGTTTGCTGAGAATGATGGTTTCCAGATTCATCCATGTCCCCGCAAAGGATATGAGCTCATTATTTTTAATGGCTGCATAGTATTCCATGGTGTATATGTGCCACATTTTCTTTAACCAGTCTATCATTGATGGGTATTTGGGTTGGTTTCAAGTCTTTGCTATTATGAGCAGTGCTGCAATAAACGTATGTGTGCATGTGTCTTTATAGAAGAATGATTTATAATCCTTTGACTATATAGCCAGTAATGAGATTGCTGGGTCAAATGGTATTTCTGGTTTTAGATCCTTGAGGAATCGCCATACTGTCTTCCACAATGTTTGAACTAATTTACACTGCCACCGACAGTGTAAAAGTTTTCCTATTTCTCCACATCCTCTCCAGCATCTGTTGTTTCCTGACTTTTTAATGATTGCCAATCTAACTGGTGTGAGATGGTATCTCACGGTGGTTTTGATTTGCATTTCTCTAATGACCAGTGATGATGAGCCTTTTTTCATATGTTTGCTGGCCACATAAATGTCTTCTTTGGAAAAGTGTCTGTTAATATCTTTTGCCCACTTTTGAATGGGATTTTTTTTTCTTGTAAATCTGTTTAAGTTCTTCATAGATTCTTGATATTAGCCCTTTGTCAGGTGGATAGATTGCAAAAAATTTCTCCCATTATATAGGTTGCCTATTCACTCTAATGATAGATTTTGTTTATTTTAAAAGGTGTTATGCTTGAAGAGTCTGGAAGAGTGACTGAGAGTCAGTGAAATGACAGCTTTAAAAGTCAATGCTACTTTTAAAGACTTTAGTTATCTAAAATCCTTTCCCTACACTTTTAAGTAAAACAAGCGGATATATTGACTAGTAAATCAGTATTGACTCCAAGGCCTCGGGGAGAGGGTCCAAGTTGACGGACGAGATATCTTAGTCTTTACTATGAGGTTTTATAGCCTACTGGTGATTGTTAGAGAGAGCATCATAAACTGAAATTATCATAAGTAAAACTGAAATTATCATAAGTATGGGAGAAGCCTATTGACGAGAACATGAGAGAATTGGGGGATATACCCATGAAATTGTGCCAGTCTGTGTGTGTGTACAGTTGTCTCTGGGTATACACACTAGATTATTGAGCTAGCAAGAGTAGAGTCTGAAATCTTGATATTCTCTCAATGCTTATTCCTTTTATTATTCTCCTAAAGTGTTAATGCCAGTTTCAAAAAGTTCTAGCCAGCTCTGAATGGACCAAGAAGAACAGGAAAAAGCTATTATCACCAAAGTTTACGGAGGTTCTTTAAAGAGAGGGGACGCAGACTTCATGAACCCTGACCAGTGGCTGTATTCATGGCCTTGGCAGTAAAATAAGGAACTTCCTCAAAGGCTAAGGAGATTCCCAGGGAATGGAAATTCTCCCATTTTAGCATTAAAATTTTTCTTTTAATGATAAACATTGAAGAGTCTTAGTGAGAACACGTCTGTCACCCAGCATGTGTGCTAAAGTTGCCAATTTCCTTACAGGATATCATGTATCTTTGTGGGCCATTTAAATAAACCCAATATTACCCTTCCTAGCTAAATAATTACTCATAGATTTGTTAACTATATTTTTAAATCACATTTATCCTTTTGTTTGGAGTTAGGATTATTAAACAAAATTAATCTAAGAAAAGCATAGCATTGGTGATATAGTTTCAGGTCTGCTGTAAAGTATATACAGGAATTATTTTTTCTCTTCTTTATTTTGATGTTTGTGTGTTTTAAGGAAACCTTCTGCTTTTTATGTAGCTTTGGCATTTTATTCTGTGTCTGTCCTATTCTAAAAAAAAAAAAACTATGTTAAAAACTTTATGTTCTAGACAAACTACTTTGACATTATTATCAAAGTAGAAATAAAATTATGATAAACCAAAGAAGTACATTATACTTTTGGATAGAAACCATATATAATTCCAGATCTTCAAAGTAAAAATCACACAGTCCACACTACCAAGAGAGACGTAGTATTTCTATTCATAAGCTTAATTTATTCACTTTTTCATATTTTCTTTATGTAGCACTTGACAGATTTTTATCAGTAAGAAGTTTTTCCTTTTCTTAAACTGTGAATGAAGAGCATACATTTTAAATAGCATGATTATGGACCCTCTGTGCTAAGCACTGCTCTCAGAAAAGGAATCAGAGATGGAAATTTGAGAGACTGTGGGAGAGGAACTGGAATATAAACCTTAAGCTAGATAAACAGCTACAGAAAGGCTTTTGTGACTTTCTAAAAATTCACATGGAAGCAATGTTTGGTACTTACATATGCTCATGATTCATTAGCAGAAAAGTTTTTCATTTTAGCAACATATTAAAAATCGTACTACAATAGGCTAGGAGCTATCAATGGCTGTTGACAGTATTGTTAGTAATGATGAGATTATAATCACAAGCTATCATTTGTTCTTTTACCTAGGCTGTCTCGTTTACGAGCCACAGACAACTCCAGAATTTCTTTCCTTTTTCTTTTTTTGAGACATGGTCTCACACTGACACAGAGGCTGGACTCTAGTGGCCCAGTCTTGGCTTACAGCAACCTCTGCCTCCCAGGCTCAAGCGATCCTCCCACCTCGGCTCTGGAGTAGCTAGAAAGACAGACACATGTAGTTCCACTAATTTTTGTATTTTTTGTAGAGATAGGGTTTTACCATGTTGCCCAAGCTGGTCTTGAATTGAGCTCAAGCAGTCTGCTTGCCACTGCCTCCCAAAGTGCTGGGATTACAGGTGTGAGCCACCGCACCAGGCCCAGAATTTCTTCTTAAAAAATAGTGTCGTTTCCTCAACATCCTTCAACTTTTCAAAACATTGACCATCAAAACTTAGCAACAGTGAAAAGTTTATATTTTTACACTATCTGATCATCTGGTGGTGGTGATAATATTTTTTAAAATGAGCTCACAATCAATGAATGCTTACAGCCTGAATAATATTACTTCAATTATGTTATTCACAGTTGCTAATCAAGAACATGCAGCATAAATTGTTACAAGACATTAGAAATGCACGTTAAACTAGAGAACAATGTAGTAAGCAAACATCATTAGAAATAAAAAACTCAGTTTTGTGAAACCCTGAGATTTTCTTCGCTGTACTTTTCTCTTTGTAGTATTAGCCAAATGCCCTAAAAGCTACTGATTACCTGAGAAGCCGAATCTATTAATGTAGACTCTAAATCTTTAACAACTCTCAAAGAAACTGGAGTGGTGCCAGGCATTCAAAAGCCTTCTGTATAATGAGTTAACCTATTAGTTATTTATTTGGATAAAAGGCAACGTCACAGACAAGAAGCCAGGAGACCTGGGTTGTACCTTAGCATTTTCTCCAGTTGCTGCACCGTCGTGGGAAAGTTCCTTAATAACTTGAACTGTTCAGTTTATTATATGTATTTCTGCGACAGGGTCTTGCTCTGTTGTCCAGGCTAGAGTGCAGTGGCATGATTTTGACTCACTGCAACCTCTACCTCCTGGGTTCAAGCAATTCTCATGCTTCAGCTTCCTGAGAAGATGGGACTACAGGTGTGGACCACCACACCCAGCTAATTTTTGTATTTTTAGTAGAGATGAGGTTTTACCATGTTGCCCAGGTTGGTCTCGAACTACTGGCCTCAAGTGACGGGCCCCCCTTAGCCTCCCAAAGTGCAGGGATTACTGGTGTACACCACTGTACTCCACCGCTTTGATTGGTTGGTCTGAAACATTTCTGAGATCCTTTCCCGTTTCAAAGTGCTACAACTACAAGGCTATTCTGAAGAGATGGAAGGCGATCTCACACCTACCATTCTGTTCCCGCTGCACTCCTGCCGCCAGAAGGTCGGGCTCCCCAAGGCTGATGTCGTTGAGCCTGGTCCCCAGACACTCCATGCACAGGTGCTTGCACCACTCCTCAGCCTCCAGCTCTGAAAGTAACCACAACATCACTAGTCAAGTAATGCTGCCTAGGAATGATGAAAGAATATTCCCTGAATCGTTTTTCCAGGTAATTGGCAAGAGTTTAAGAACCCACTTTTTAAAAAACCACAAAAAACTATATTTAGGAAGTGAAAAAAAAGTCCCAGCAATTATTTCCCACTACTTGAGATTATATTTTTAAGTGGTTTATTTTATTTGTAGTACTTTACCTTATTTACAGTTAATAGTCTGGGAATATTTGTTTCCTATATAGCAAAGTTTAGATTGATTTTATTTGGGGAGGAAAATTATTTAAAAGAATAAATTACCAAGGTTTAGTTATCCCATTATATACATACATGTATATATATACTTCAAAATATCATGCTTTACATGATATTTAATTTTATATCAACGTAAAAATTAAATAAGTAAATATGAAATATATAAGTGAATAGTTGGAAAAAATGTCAGGTTAAACAAATGAACGTTTTTCTGAAAGTTACTTAGATTTTTATGAGTTGAAGATCTGATCCCGAAGTCATTCTAAATTGAAATGGATCATAAATCAGCTCTAGAATGTGATCATTTTCTCTGTAAACAATACAAATTAGGCTATTCTTACTTTTTGAAAAATCGGGGTAGACTCTTAATCTCTTCTCTTAGGAAAATTCTAATTACCTAAGACATTGATTGGATCACTTTTTTTTTTTTTTAACTATGATCAACTCCAGATTTCTTTATAATCACATTTTCCCCTTGGTTAACACATTAGAATGTGTTACACTGACACAAAATACTGTCGTATCTAAAGCTTTCACAGGATTTCCTAAACGTAAATGAATTGACTTTGGTGTAAGCCCTGTGTGAGTGAGGTAGCCAAGGCTTAGGATCATACCTGTGTCTCAAATCATTGGTCAACACCAAAACAGAAGTGGAAATCAACCGAGTCTTCCAGCTATTATACCATGCAGAAATTTGAAAAAGGGTCTGAGGTTTAATATTTTAGGCCAAGCTCCAATATCACTGTACAGAAACTGGATAAGAACTTTCCATTGACATCTGCCCAGAGAAGTTTCTGACTTTTCCATGTAACATAAATCTGTACTAGAGCCGTTTAATATGGATTTTCTGTAAATCTCTTGTTGCTCTCTGTGGATGACACCTAACCCTTTGCCTTGGCATTTTAATATCCCCATAAAAAGTTATCTGTGACAGATTTTCTTGACTTCAGGGATCTGACTACCAATTCTGGGCTCTCCTCAATGGTCAACACCATCAAATTTGGGTAATGTTTTCTTTCTGAGCTTAGTCACGCTGCCTCTGCAGCAAATATAAGTTTCATTACTGAGATGGGAAGACAAATTTGTCATTTATTTTTAGTTTTTTCAAGACTGTGCATACTTTTAAAAGTAAAGAAAAAAGAATATGCAGTTCCTCATGGGATCCTATTCTAATAAAAAGAATAGTTCCAAAGTTCCCATCATAAAATGAAATAAAATTCCCATTTTATTTACAAAAATACAGTTTGCATGTATCAGGGACCATCCCCTCACGGTGTAAGTCACACCATCAAACTCTGTCAGGGATCAGGGAGATTTTCAGGTGGACCTGGCTCCCCACTTGGATGGAGTCAGAGGCCTGGGATTAGCTGCTCAGGCATTTCCTTAGGAACCCAGCAAGTAATCCTTTCCAACCACAAGGCTACCAGTATAATAAATGTACCATTTGCTGAGGCTATGGCTTACTTACACACACACACACACACACACACGCACGCACACACACATGCCCCCCAAAATCCCCAAACAAAACTTTTTTCTTCTAGGAAGCAAATGCCAGACTTCATAGAAAAATTTCATAGGAGCAACAATAGCATATATTGAAAATACTTTTATTAGATATATAAGTATTTATAAAATGTATAAAAGATTTAAAAGATTTTCTAACAATCAACCAAACTCTTACAGGTTAAACCAATTTACATGCTATGCATCAAGAAATGCTTGAAATCTCTCTCAGCGGGACACTATGACTATTGTTTTTCTTTCAAATTTTTAATGTTTTAAGTTTTTCACAGGATTCCACAATTTAAAAATAATGTAAATTTGCATACAATTAATATCTTTTCTGCATTATTCTATATAGTAGTATTTCCAGTTCTCTACACATGAAGGTGAAAATATTTAATGTGCTACTTGTGGGTAAAAATAAGAAAGTTAAATTTGCCAAAGCACCTTGGTGCCAATGTTCTCCTTAAGCAGTAAGTCAGTGCATGCCCAGATATTTAAGAAATATGATTCGCTCCTTCATTGTATTAAGTCTTTTGTCCTAGGGTTTAATGAGACAAAACAATCATACAGTAAAAGGCTTCTATGAAACTGGAGTGGATGCTTTCAAGTAGAACTAAATGCAGAATTTCTGTAAGTGCTGGAACAAAGAGGTCTCCTGTCACAGCAATGAGAGGTATTTGTGGGCTCCTACTAGCACTTAAAGATGTCTTTTGCAGCCAGTGCTGCAGCATTTTAGTAGCGTGGTAGCATATAAGAATAGAAATAGCAAGCATGATAAAAGTAGAGTACATACTGTCACACTAAAGACCGAACTGTTAACTATTTCAAAGAGACAGAGAGAGAGAAGAAAGATTCTTACAATTCAGGGCTCATTCCTTTAACAAATATTTATTGTGAACTCTCTATATATCAGGCACTGTGCTAGGAGGTTATACAAAAACACACTATTTCTGCTGTCAATAATCATAGTATCTGGTGGGACTGGCAGATGGGTTTGGTATGTGGTGATCTGGAAGGCTGTTAGCCTCACTAGGAGAGACTGAGGAACTATGACAAAGGCTCAGCAGAGTGAAACATGTAAGGGCAAGCAGGGAGAAAATGATGATGTGTGTATGTGAGTGCGTGTGCATGTATATCAGTATGTGTGAGTGTGTGTGTGTGTGTGAGTTTATACTATGTGAGTGAGTTTGTGTGCACACAGCAGTTTTGAGTGTGAGTGTGCATGTGTACCCATATGTTTGTGAGTGTATGAGTGTGTGTTGGAGGAGTCTGTGACAAGTGAGAAAGATGCCTGGGGCAGAGGGAAAGATATTTGCAGGGCAGCAAGAGTGACATCCTGTAGCAGCAGGGGATAGCTCTGAGTTCATGTAGAAAATGCGAGAAACAGTATCACTTCATTCTTTTCATGATTTTCTAGCATTTGGCTCAATTAGATAAGTCCTAAAACTTCACCTCAAAAGAATTAACCTTTGTAGTCTGTATACTTGATCTATTTTGTTGCAGATAAGCTGAATTTCTTTGATTTTAGACAAAGCTTTGGTTTTCCAAAGTTACTTTTGATAGTCACTACCTTTCAAATATTATAACCATGATTTTTTAGTTCTTCTTTCTTAGGCAAGCTCTATGTATTAATTTTTTTTTTTTTTTGAGACAGAGTTTTGCTCTGGTTGCCCAAGCTGGAGAACAATGGTGCGATCTCAGCTCACTGCAACCTCTGCCTCATGGGTTCAAGTAATTCTACTCCCTCAGCCTCCCAAGTAGCTGGGATTACAGGCACACACCACCGTGCCTGGCTAATTTTTTGTATTTTTAGTAGGAATGGGTTTTCACCATGTTAGCCAGGCTGGTCTCAAACTCTTGACCTTAGGTGATACATCCACCTTGGCCTACCAAAGTGCTGGGATTACAGGTGTGAACGACTGCACCTGGCCTGAGGTCTTTTAATCTTTTATTGAGTGTTAATTTTTTTTCTAATTAGTGTTTTTCTCTGAATTATCTTTCACTTTTCATTTTTATATTTTTTTTACAGAACTGAGAATCAATATGAATGCAACACATAGGTCTAGTGGGTTGGGCAGGTGGGTTCAGAACCCACTGCCTCAGCCACAGCCTCCTGAGTAGCTGGAATTACAGGTGTGCCACTCACCTGCATTTCACCACTGCATTTTAAAATGTTTATTTTCCCACAGACTCAATGCCTTTTGTCATTTGCTTTATCTTTCAAACTTTTTAGTCTACAGATTATATGTAAATAACTTTCTTTATGGGAGTATAAAGACATTAAAGTGTACTATGAAGTTTTCTATTTTTCTCTTCATGAAGTGTTTTTTCATTAAAATGCCTTTTTCAGGTAGCCTGCAGCTATGTTCAAATTTTTAACTGAGTAAATAACTTTTTCTCTGGACTAGAAACACAAATAACGTTTTCATTATGTAGGCGATTAGTTAAATGAAGAAATTTGGTAATTTCCAAAAGGAAAATTGAAAGGCATTTGGGAATAATAAGACAAATGGAGACTAGAGATTAAAGTAAATGATGAATTATGTGATAATTGGTTTTACTGATTGGAGGGCAAATGATGAGAGTACGAAACAAATTTAGTCAAAGATGGAGGCTCCTCCCAGTGTTTCAGTGTCTTTCCATTTCTCCTTCACAGAATTCTGGGGAAAGCATGGTGTCTTACAATGCAGTGACACGGGACTGACGCAGTGCTATTTTTAATTCTGATTCACAGGGATAAGAAAAGAGGTCTTTACATAGAAGGCCTTTGATAAACGCCTATTGACTAAATAATTAGATTCAAGCTTTATTGCTTTCACTAAATTTAGTCCTTAAGATAATGACATTAAAGTTAAATGATCCAAAATGAGTTGTATTTGAAAACAGTGAAAAAGTTTTCATCATGAATATATATATATTTTCCATATATATATGGAAAAAAATATATGGAAAATATGCTATCAGCCAGAAATTACACTGCAGAATTAAAAACAGCACTGCACCAGTTTCATGTTACTTTACATACGATGCAGGTAGGACTTTTTTGTGTGAAAATAATAAATCATTGTATGTACTTCTCACTGTAGTTAGCTTTTATTAATCTTTGAAAAGCATAGATAAAATAATCTTGTCTTCAGCAGAAGCAGAAATTCTTAATTCTATCTAGTTCTTATCTTCCGTGCAGATTTGCTATGATTTGATGATAAAGGCTGTTT